CACTTTCCCCCAGTGATCCGCCAAGATACTGCCCAGGCCGCCTGGGCCTCAGTGGCCTCTCTGCGTGACAGAGGCATAATAATAATAACGGTCTCTGCCTCACTCCGAGGGAAAGGCTTTCATGCTGGCATTGTTAGCTGGCTCAGGAGCTCGTTAGAAGTGGAAATTCTCAGGCCGGCTGAGTCCGCAGGCTGTGCTGAATGTGCCCTCCAGACCAGGCGGAAGCACGTTCTTGTTTGAGAACCGCTGGCTAAGTGCGTGTCCAGCGCTGGGAACAACACCTGGGACATCACAAGGGCTCAATAAATGTTAGCAGCTTATTACAGTTGTTGTCAGATGGCACTCGTGGCCCCCAGAGTCTTGGGCAGAGTTGAGCCCAGCTCCAGGGGAGAAAAGGCTAGACGTGGCTCCCAGGTTCCTCTAAGCGCCCTGAGCTCCTCGGCACTGGTCTGTTTTGTAAGGTCCACCGCCCAGTTCCTGGCCCCATGGGCAGTGCCGGGAGCAAAGCGTAGACCTGACAGTTACTGACAAGGTCAATGTGGCATTCCTCCTTCCTCCTCCCATCTATCAGTGCAGCCTTCTCAAGACGGGGCGATGCTGGGGGCTGGGGAGTGGACTTTAGCCCTTCCTGACTCACACACCTCCAGGAAGCATTCTTCAACCACACGGGACTTGCTCTTCATACCTCCTGGTTTCTGTTAGTCAGAGTGGGGTGTGTGTGCACGCGCGCGTATGTGTGTGTGTGTGTGTGTGAGACCAGCTCCTGTGTTTCCATCCCAATGTGTGAATTTGAAAAAGATCAAGAAAAGAATGGGTAAAAACTTGGCATGCTGCTCAAAATGAACATAGCCAAAGGGCCCGTAAGCATGAAAAGATGCACATCATCACCAATCTGCAGGGAAATGCATATTAAATCCAGAATTAAGGCCACTAGACACCCCCCCACACACACCCCTGCCAGAATGACGGCAATGAAAGAGGTGGAGAAGGTGGGGGTGCAGAGGCAGCAGAGGAACAACTGAACTCCTGGCTGGAGTGAGAGGAAACGGCTAAAGATGGCTAGAGCCCCTCTGGACAAGTGGTTGGACGTCCTCCAGCACGTCGCCTGTGGCTCCGTGTTCCCACTCCTAGGTAGGATACTCCAACAGAAAGGCTTCCATATGCTCCTCTGAAAGACACGCACCAGAATATTCATAGAAGCGCTATTTTTAATAGTCCCAAACAGGAAACTACTCAAGCAAACTTGTCTGTCGAGAATAGAATGGATAAATCAAAGCGGGTGTGTTCACACCCCGGAACACCGCACCGCACCGAGAATTACGGCTCCACTCGACGACGCGGAAGAACCTCGCGCACATGCTCCGGGACAAAGGAGCCAGACGCGAGCGGTGTATTTACACCCTTTGGTTGCATTTAGATGAATTCCAGTAACAGATGCAAGTACCCCATGGCTTTTGACCGCAGAGGGGTGGTTACCTTGGGGCCGTCGTAACTGCACAGTGGCACCAGGGCTTCCAAGGGACCAACGAAGTCGGTCGGCACCTTAAGAGGGGCGAGTCATGCTAATACGTTCAGTTGCTGGAAATTCATTGAGATGCACACTTCCGAGGCTTGCACTGTTCTGCGCGATTATTTTCACAAAATGTCGAACCCTCTAAGTGATCTTGGAATATCCGATGGCTTATATCTCCTCCTGCTCCTCCCCAGCCCTGTGAAGGGGAAAGAGTGCAGAATCCAGAACCAGCCCCCCGTGGAGCTCAGCTTCTGGAATATTCCAAGTCTCAGGGTCTTTAGGGGTCGGTGACAAGTTGATCCAGATCAGGAGGAAAAGGAATGGACGGAGGTCCTGTATGCAGCAGCCGGCAGAGCCAGTGACCTCATCTTGACCACCTGCGTGGAGGTGGTGAGACCCCTGCCCATCTGCTCTCAGAACTGGTTGGGTGACGTCTGCAGGGGTGCTGGGGCTCAGAGGGCAGGGTGGAGCCGAGTGGATGCCTGCTGCCAGCATCCTTGGAACCAGAGAACGTCTACGTGGATTTCTGCATTACTTCCCAAGTCCCTGCCCATTCTTTCCAATGACACGCTCTCATTCGTTCTTCAAAGGGATCACAATTCCTGAACGAGCATGCAAAAATGATCTTCTTCATTAACTAGAGAAAAAAAAAATGCACCGCCTGAGCAGAGCGTGCACCAGAATGCAGCAGAAGCACAGCAGCCCAGGCTGGGTGAATTCCCCCGTCTGTGCCGGTTGTCATGGGTAGCTGTGGCTGGAAGCCGCCCTGTTTGGGACAGCATTTCCAAAGAGTGTTTTCCGGAGCACTAGTCCCAGGATGCTAACAATTCCGTGCTCACATACGTCTTGAGAATTACTCTGTTGAAGGTGATAAGGTCCACTCTTCACTGAGGACCTCTCAGAGACTTCAACACGCTGGCGGTCATAGTGGATACCCAAGACGGGGGTCAAGTAGGTAGCGTTTTTCTAACTTATTTGGTTACTCTGCCCTTCCTGATTTGCAGAGCACCTTGTGAAATACAGTCCCTGGAATCCACAATGGAAGATACTGGCGTGGAGCTCTTTGGCCTACGAGCCAGGGCACTTGGCTTAAAGATTCTGCTCTGTTGTTCGTGATCAGGAAACCTTGGAGGAGTCCTTCTCCCCAAGGCTCAGTTAAATAGAACGAAGGGACTTTGAAGAAAAGCAACGATATGAGTCTGCCAGAGAACAGGGAGCGGCGTTTTAACCATTATCTCACCACCTTTCCCCCTTTTATTGCATTTAACACTATGGTGTTAGGCAAGGACACTTATTTATATACACGGCAGATGATGTTGATGGCTTCCCCAATGGCTGTCACTCTCTGGCTAAAAGAATCTTGATTTATCCCATGTGACAATAAGCCCAGAGAATAGGGGTGTTTTTCATTTCTTTTTGTCCAGGAGCAGTTATGAATTGGATCTGGCCAATGAGATAGGTGACATTTCCCAGGTGCTTTTGAGAAAGACCTTCTACTCTGATGAATAATTCTCATTTATCATCCTTTCTCTCTGATTAAAAATGGTGATGTGAGGATGTGATGGTTGGAGCTATGACAGCCACCTTTTGACTGTAAGACTTTCTGCGTAAAAACCACTGAACAGTGGAGGCACAGAGGAAAGAGAGAAACCCTGGGCCTTTAATTACATCACTGAGCTGTCAATCTAATATTTGAACTGCCTACCTCTGACTTGTCAAGGGAGCAGTGTCTTTTTGGTTTTACTCACCACCAGTTTGATTTGCACACGGAAACTTACCGATAATGTTTGTGCCTGTTTTCATTATTTAGAAAAAACATTATTAGAAAATACATTTTCTCGTGCATAAGTGGCCCTTGGTTATAAGTTGCTTTCCCATCTGTTTTTATTAGTTAGGATGGAATCGGGGCTCTGATAGAATCACAAACAAAAGCTGGAAATTGCAGTGACTTAAAACAATAATAGCTTGTTCTTCACTCCATCGTACTCCGATATGGGTTGGTAACCCTGTCCCAACTAGTAGCTGTGTATCTGTATATTAGGTTCTTCCAGGTGACGGTGCAGTAACAGATTCTGAAATTTCAGTGGTTTAATATTTAAAGGTCTGTTTTTGGCTTTGCCAAGTCTGCACATAGCCCACGGGCTCTTTGGGAAGTTCTCTTCCAGGTAGTGACCCAGGGACCCAGGCTGCATCTTTTAGGTACAGTCTCTGGGACAGGTGACTTCCTGATGGCTGAGGAAGGAGAGGACAGATTGAGGGTCACGTGCCAACTCTTAAATACTTTGGTCTGGAAGTGACATCACTTCTTGCCATAGTTTGGATCTTGAATGTCCTCAAAGGCCCCTATGAAGACTTGGTCCCCAGCCTGTGGGGCTATTGGGAGGTGGTGGGTCCTTTCGAAGGTGAGGCTTAGTCAGAAGAAGTTGGGTCCTTCAGGGTGTGGTCTTGAAGGAGACATTGGGACCCTGATCCCTCCTGTCTCTCTTTTTGCTTCTCAGCTGCCATGAAGTGAACAGACCTCCTCTGTTACATGCTCCCACCAAGACGTACCATGATGCCACCACAAGCCCCAAACCACAAGGCCAAGCAATGATGGAATAAAATCTCTGAAACTATGAGCCAACATAAACCTTTCTTCCTTATAAGTTGATTATCTCAAGTTTTTTGCTACAGTCATGGAAGGCTGACTAACACATTTCTCTTAATAATAAATTGTCCAAAACTTACCACACATTTCAATTTAACTTCAAAGAAAGCTAGGAAATATAGAGGAGCATGTGGATTTTGGAGAGTACTGACTGTCCTTCATAAAATATAATAGTAGTAGCTTTTCTAATAATCTTGTCTCAGACTGGATCTCTGAAATATGTTAAATGGAAGTTAGGTCATGAGGGAGAGAGAAAGGTGGAGTGGAAACTTCCCTGCCTCCTCTAAGTCCAGCTTCCAGAGGCTAGGCCAGGCACCAGGTTCAAGGTAGTGCCTGAAAAGAGCCAACGTAGTGCTCAGTAATCTGGGTTCTGGTCTCTCTGTTCCTGTTGACCTTGGGCAAGCTATCTTTCCATACCATAGGCATTCAATCCTATTCTGATCACTGTGGCCCTGTAACAAGTCACCTCCAAACCAAAACAATAACCATCCTTCCTGGTTTCCATGGGGCAGAAAGGTAGGAGTGACTTGGATTAGTGGTTCTGCCTCAGGGGCTCTTACCCACAGTCTTTGAAGGACCCACAGTCCTCACTGGGGCTGAGGACCCATTTCCCATGTGGCTCACTGACATGGCTGTCGCCTAAGGTCCCAGGGCCTCTGCACGTGGCCTTTGAGTGATCCACCTGAGCATCTCCGTGGTGTGGTGGCGATTCCCCAGGAACAATCCAAGTCAATGACGTGCCAGGCACAGGTCTTTATGACCTGGCTTCAAAGGTCACAGAAACACCTCCACAGTGACACCCTGATTCCATGTTGGAGGCATCTGTGCCAGCAGGGTGGACACCAGGAGATGAAATCACCAAGGACAGTCTTGGGGGCTCCCACCCTCCACCTCTAAATCCTGCCTCTCTGTAGCCGTGACCAGGGACGGTCGTTCCTCTCCTCCAACAGCACCCTTCTCTCCAAGGAAGTTCAGGTGGGGCCAGGGCCTCCTGCCCCCACCCCAGGGTATTTTCTAGAGCAAAACCACTCAGAATGGACTCATCTTCTACTCAATTCTTTCCTGTAGGAAACAGGTGCTATTTTGTCTATGCCCATTCCACAGAAGGGGACACTGAGGCCTAGAAAGTCTTGTCTGATATCAGGGTCAGCGTCTGCTGAATCAAATTTTAAACCCAGAGTTTGGGTTACTAATATGCCCTGGAGCCTGGCTCAGCTCCAGAGGGTGAACAGCCCCCCCTGGCCCCCCCTCCTGCCCAGCGTGGAGCCCAGGGGTCCTCTGCACCCTGGAGGCAGGACAGCTAATGTCTTCCTCCAGAGAAGCACTTGGCAGTCCCCGGGCAGCTTTCCTGACCCTACAGCGCCCACTTCGTCCCACCGCACCTGGAGGGCTCTGCTCCCCAGGAACTTACTGGAAGTCCCGGGCTCTTTTTTTTTTTTTTTTTTTTTGGTATTTCCAGTGTACGCTGAGCTAATAGTGTTAGTGGCAGAACAAAACAGTGCGTTCCTGCTTAAGGGAGTGATAATGGAGTCTGATAAGTCAGAACAAGGAGTGATTTCTTTGTGAGCCAGCATATTAGGGTTTAGCTGTAAAACTGTCCTTTTCTTTAACCGCCAGCAGCCAGTGAGAGAGCTTCCGACCACAGATTTATTAAATGTTGTGGACTTAGATAAGATGATTTAAGGTCCATGCTTCTGTCCCTGATCTGCCTATCGCCCAGAAGCTTGAACAAAGACTTAATGCATCTCGGCAATTTGCCTGCATTTGAATGAGACAAGTGACCAATTTCTCTGACTCCAGGGTCTGAGGATCAGGGGGCACCAATGAGATTCAGAGCAGCCTTGGAAGGCGCTCTCATGCCCTTCCCGGGAAGGAGGAGGAGAATCTATGGATGCCCTGCCTTGGTGCATGCCCCTGAGAGTGTGGTGCATTCAGCAGGTGTGTGTTGGGGGGTGAGGAGTTGAGTGTAGAGGCCTCGTGGGTGCACGAACATGTATACAGGTGGGTGTGCCATGGTGGGAACTTGGGAGGGTCCCAGAGACAAGCTAGAATCCTGGCTGTGCAAATCAGAGCTGGGAACCTGGGGGCAGTACCACCCCTGTCAATCAAGATGGTGCTAACAATAGCCCCCCGCCCCACTCTGAAAGGGCTCCTGTGAGGCTTAAATGAGGTAATCCCCATGGAGCCTTCCCACCCTGCCTGAAATTCCGGAAGCACTTCCAGAGACGGCTACTCTCGTTTTGGGGAGGTATCTGCGTGGAACCCTGTTTGGGGTATGTGCCTGGGTGTCTGACCCTGTGTTCAGCGGTTGTGTATGACAAAGGACATCCATGTAGCCTTAATGCAATTAAAAACAGTGAACTCCTGACCACTGGGGACACATCTCCTCCTGGGCAGAGTGAAGAGCGCCCTGGTCCCAGGGAGCTATAGAAGGTTCTCCCTGGCTGGTGCTTTGTAGGGGGGACATATGGACATCGAAATGGCTGCTTCTCAGAGGCAGAGAATCCACGTTTCGCCCTTGAATAGTGAAATCCATAGAGTTGAGTGAGAATCCGAGGAGCCGGGCATGACGCTGGCCAGTTTTTCTCGCTGTAGCTCTTCCTCGGCAGGGTCTGTCCCCTCCAGTGTTCTCTGCCATCGTGTTCCCTGGGGACCAGCGACTGGATCATTAGGGGCAGGGGGTGAGCCAAGTTAAGCACCACTGGAGCCTCCTGTGCCACCCACGACTGGCGGCCACGCTCAACGCCAGGCCGTGTGGCGCTCACCCGAGGTGGCAGGGTTCCAGAAGGAAGCGCGGGCTACATTTCATAGACCAGAAAATGGAGTCCTCCGTCAGCCAGAGGGCCTCCCGGGGGAGCCCTGGTCTCCGCCCTTCTCCCTTTGGCTGAAGCAGTGGAGGGGCTTTCCTCCAGCCCAGGCAGTCTCCTCAACAGGGGCAGTGCTGGGCCCGTGGGGGCCGAGGCCTGTGTCCGCTGCTGCACGTCTGTGCCTTGCTCAGCACGGGACACCAAGCGGCCACTGTGGGCTCCTCCGTCAGTGCACTGGGTGTGTCCCTACCGCCCGTGAGACTTGTCACTGTGGTGGTGAGCCCTGCACCTCCTCTCTGGCCTCCCACCCTGGGAACCCCTATCCTATTGTGGGAGGAGCCCGGGAGCCAGGAGAGGAGCTCTGTCACCTGACCACTGGGGTCACTGTGCTCTGGAGGGTTGGCCGGGTCTGGAGGTGAGGCGCTGGGCGGGGACCTGCTTCTCTATCTGAAAATCGAAGGGCTTCCACTGGCACAATGGGTCATGGCCTTGGAGAGCATGGGAGTCCCCAAAGAAGTAGCCGCAGGTACAGCCACAGCCCCGGCTCTGAGGGCCCACTTTGGAAGTGGGGGGCAGGGCTCTGGCTCTCCATCCCCAGCATCTCTGGTGACTCAGGCAGGTGTCCTCAGACCGCCCCTCCGGCCCCTCCCAGCCCATACATCCGGGACCCTTCAGGCCTGGGTTCCCTCGGGGTGCAGGGCCATCTTGGGATGTGAAGTGGACGCTGTCCTTACTGTGCTATCAGAGACCATTGACGTCACCTGCTGCCCCCCAGGCTGCTGCACAGAGCAGGCACCAGGGCCCATAGGCAGGTCTCCACCTCCTCTTCCCCTCCTGCGGAGAGTGGACCAGGGAACTGGGCCCCTCCACCGGCCCAGGGTTCAGGAGGAAGGGTTAGCAGGACCGGGACGCCTTTTCGCAAACCCCATCCCGTCCGTGGGCAGACATTGCCTTTCTGGGCTGCGGGCCACACCGTGGCCAAGGGATCCTTATGAAGCTTGTCATTGTCTTGTGCAAAATCTGCCAGTGGCTTTATACCACACCCCAAGGAAAATCCAAAATTTTGTTGTTGCCCACGGGAGCTGGCTCCCGAGGCGTCCCTGACCTGTCCCCTCCTCTCTCCCTGTGTTCCCTTAGCTCTGCTCCAATGATCTTCCTGCTCTTCTCTTGGTAGATTCAACCCATTTCACCCAGGGCTTTGGTACCTGTGGCTCCCTCCTCCTGAAACGTCCCCTGTCACACACCCAAGGGCGCCTCTGTTTTCCCTCCCAGGTGTGTGATTCCCTGACCCAGAATTAGCGTGGATGGCCTGGTCCCCAAGAGTCTGCCAAACATCCGTGTTGAACAGGGAGATGCGCCAGTGAATGGGTGAGTGAAGTGACGTCACCGCACGCGTGACTCCGAAGCTTGTCTGGGTTTTAAAATAAGCAAATTGGTCACGAGTTGGCAGTTGTCATTTCCAGTGGATTAACAGTTGTGAGTAATACACTCCCCGGGGCCCAGGGGACGGGACGAGGCGCACTGTCGGGTGCTGCTCTGGCGTCGCGGTCCCCGACTGGAAGGCAGCCTGGAGTGGCACTGTCCCTGCTCTGGGTGGCATCTCGGGGGATGCCGCGGGTGCGGTCCCCTGGCCCTGCACGTGGCTGCGCAGGGTGGGATCGGGGTGGCAGCAGGCCTGGTCTCCCCTGTGGCCTCTCTCCTGGGCTTGGCCAAGTCCTGTCTGTGTCCTCAGTCATTCTGGATTAATCATTTCAACCCAACTTCCCCTTCAAAGTATGTCTCCAAGTGCAGTCACCCTCGGAGTTAATGGGGGTGAGGACTTCAACATAAAATCGGGGGGAACATAATAATCCAGCCTTAATATTTACTTATTTCCCTTTTAATCTTGCTGGAAATTCTAGAATCAACAACTTTAAAATAAGACCCTAACAGAGACTTGAAGTGGTTGAATAGCTCCTGGGGCGCACACGATTCATTGTTTCCACTAGCAGGAGAGGGGTCAGGAGAGGAAGGCCCCGGTGGTGGGGTCGGCCATGGGCTGGGGACTGGACTCCCAGCACAGGGCTCAGTTCACGTCCTGTCCCCTGCTGTCCCTGCCCTCCAAGGCAGAAGGTCACCGTGAAGTCTTCATGATGAATCAGTGCTGTCCTTACAAACACGTGCTCAGGAGCCCGGGCAAGAGAGACAGTCGGCTCACGGGGTCACTCTGTGGCCTCGCGTCTCCACCCTCCACCCAGCCCAGCCAGGGCCTCTGGGTCCTGCTGCAGGGCGGCCGAGAGGAAGCCAAGTCATCATCCCAGTGGCCTGCTGTGCCACAGAGGGCTCAGCTCTGTCCCCACAGGGTCCATCTCCAGTGTTTGAGAGAGTCCCAGATGCCACCAGGAGGAATAGGGTGATCCACCTGCCCCCCACCCGCCCCATCTTGCAAGGGATAAAGATCCTACACTTGATGAGCAGGTAGCTGCGTGATGATCCTTTGGACACCTCAGCTGAGCTGTAGAGTGAGACCACTGGCCTGAAAGCCTGAACGCACTTCTGCCGCCCCGCCCTATCCGTCCCTGCTGGGTTATGAGGTCTACCTGCCGGATGTGTCACAGTCCTACTTTTCCTGACACCAGATGATCCTGTGGTCCCTGTCCTCTTCCTTCACGTGTGATGCCATGCCTGGAACCACAGAAGCCATTTTGTGACCACAACACTAAGTGTATCTCTAATAGTCAGGGTGAAAGCCAGGCTCGGGGGATGATGGTAGAAAAAGCCTAATCTCTGACATTGTTGGGCACTAGATCAGTACTACCAACGACTACCTCTGGATTACTTGATATTTAAGAAAAATAACTACTTTGCAATTTAAGCAATTTGATTATGTTTATTATATTAATATATAAATTAATTATAAATAATATATGTATTAAATATATATATTTATATATTATTTGGTTATATATTTAACTGCAGTTAAATATATTCCTAACAATATAGTTGGTGAGCTAAAAACAGTCTGTCTCTGAAGATCAGCCTCTAAAAGCCACCAAATTGTTAAGGATCCCCTATCTGGTCATTAACTGAAGTGGCTGAAGTAGCTTCGAGGATGTGATAATCCACCAGGTCCTCATCAGCTACAAGGCCTCTCTCCCCTGTCCTTTGGTCTCTGTAAGGGCTGGAGGTCCCTGGCCCTGAGCAAAATGAAGGCTCTTGGATTCTTGCCACCTAAACCTCATCCTACCCATCGCTGCCAGTCAACGGGTGGAAGAGGTCCTGCCCCTTGACTTACCCCTGATGTCTCACTGACTCCCATCCCCCAGAACCTCTTCTATCCAGCTCATGGAGGAGGGGGAGAGGATAATGGGGGGAGGAGGGGGGAGGAGGAGAAAGGAAGGAAGGAGAGAGAGAGAGACCTCATAGTGAAAATCACTGGCCTATGAATCAGCCCAGAACCTCCCTGAAGGCGATATTTAATCTGATATTGTGGGGAAAAGCCTTCCCTGGGCCCAAGTTGGACAATCCCCAGCACTGAGAAGAGCTTCAGAGCTGGGCTTTGCTCTTCGGTGATGTTCTGACCCTATAGCTTTGCTCTTGGAAGACCCTGGGGTCCATAGGGGAAGACCACAAGGGCAGGACTTCCAGGACTCGGCCTGGCTGTAAACCCAGTAGTTCTATCTCCATCTGCTTTTATTCTTCAGGAACAAAGTTTCTGGATGGTGGCTGCACCCTGGGAACTCTTAAAAGTTTGTTAAACAACTTCACCATCATTTGAATTGGGGAGGAAACTGGAGCTCAGAGAAGTGGAGCATCTTATCTAAAGTAACACAGTGTTCTTGGGATAGAGTTCAAACTCAAGTCTTCAAATTCCACATCTCCTGGAAGTGACAGTTCCACCACTGAGGAGACCCCAGACTATAATGCAGGTAAGATCCTGGACTTTATCTGGGAGCTCCTGGTCAGATGGGAGAGGAACAATCTATATGGGGGACACCAAAGCTCTGTTATTGAGGTGTCCCGTGGACTTCTGAAGGATTCAAAGGACCCAGAAAGAAACCAAGAGTGGAGAGGACGTCAAGCCACGTGAAGTCCACGTCTGCAGCCCTGTCCAGCAGCCAGCCCTGATGTGCAATGCAGGAGGCAGAGAGGGACAGCAAGCCCGATAGCTTCCTGCGCTCAGCAAGCTGGAGCCATTTTTGAAAGAACAGAGGAAGTCGGAGGCTGCATTCCAGGGGTGGAGAGAGGACCGGAAACACGGTTCTGGCCAAGAAGGATCCCGGAGACGCTTGCCCCTGGCAGGACGCCTGCTCGGGCTGCAGAGTGCTGCTGCATTGGGGCCTATGTTCCCCTCATAGCTTTTCTTCCTGGCATGAGAACGGCCCATTCATCTCCAGAGCCAGTCAGACCTCAGGCTCAGTGGAGCGAGGACAAGGACAAGTGCCAAGCCACCTTGTCCATCAGAGCTGCAGCGCGGCTTCAGCTGGCTGCAGGGGCCACCTTGGCACAGAAGGCAGAGAGCTGGGCAGAGGCACTCTGAAGATGAGCGCTCTGTCTACCCCACCAGACCAGAGGCTTCTGGAAGCCAGGGGCTGCGACTCCATCAGCCCCCTGAGGACAGGGCTGGGCTCCCCCATCAGCTCAAGAGCACAGAGATCCTTTCCTGCCAGGCTTAAGGGCAAAGAGCCCTCCGCGGTCCGGGGTGCTGTGCCAGTCGGGGCTCTTCCCTGCCCCCACCATGCTGAGGTTTAAGGGACTGTCGCCACCAGCCAGTGCTTGCTGGTTTTCTCCCCTACGCCACCTTTGAAAAGAGCAACACCTCCTCTTTCCCTTCCTCACTCCCACCCTGAGTTTCTTGGTGGGACAGATGGTACCACCCTCAGTTTCATTCTCTGTTTGGCCTTTAGAGCTCAGAGAAGGAGACCCCGCCTACTCAGTAGCTCAGGCGATGGCCACAGCGCATGGAAGCCAGCAGCCGGCCAAGTTCAGCTGCAGGGGTTATGGTCGCAGAGTTCCCTGGCTCCTCCTGCTCCCAGGGCAGAACTGGCCTCCAGGCCCAAAGGGGCTTCTGGGAGGGGCAACCCTTGCCCTTCTTCAGAACTGAGGGTGTAACTGTACTGTGGGAGTCGTGGGGACTTCTTTTTGTAGCCTGACATGGGTCTAATGATTTTCAGAAAAGGAAGGTTGCTTGAACAGCCCTGCCCTGCTGGTTTTGATCAGATCCTGTCCCTCTCTGTTTCCCCACTGGGAGGGGCTGGGGCTGGGCTTCCCAGAGGGATTTGATAACCAAAGGCCTGCTGTGCTCTCCTTGGAGACCTCAGAGTGGTGCACCATACTATCTACTCCCCAAATATTGGTCCAGGGAGTGCTTACATTCCACAATGAAGTGGTCAGAAATAACTTTGTGCTTACAGTCCACAAAGAAGTGAGAAAATAAGCCAGGTGCAGTGGCGCAGGCCTGTAATCTCAGCGGCTCTGGAGGCTGAGGCCCGAGGATCGTGAGTTCAAGGCCAGACTCAGCAACTAAGAGAGGCCCTAAGCAACTCCGTGATACCCTGTCTCTAAATAAAATATTAAAAAGGGCTGGGGATGTGGCTCAGTAATTAAGCACCCCTGGGTTCCATCCCTAATACCAAAAAAAAAAAAAAAAAAAAAGTGAGAAAAAAAATTTTAAATGCCATTTGTTGTCATAAAACTAAATATATTTAATTTAAAGGACTTTCTAGAGTTTCATGTTTTTTCCATCTTTTGATGTAGAAACATGTTGGGGGACATGGGAGAGGGCTTAATGGGAAACGGAAGGAAGAAGAAGTGGTTATAGTTTGAATATGGGGTGTCCCCCAAAGCTCCTATGTTAATGCAGGAAAGTTCAAAGGTGAAATGATGACATTACAAGAACCATGACCTGATCAGTCCATCCGAGTTTGAATGGACTAACTGGATGGTAACTGTAGGCAGGTGGGGCGTGGCCAGAGGAGGTGGTCAGTAGCGGCTTGATGTGAAGGACTCATCTGCCGTGTGCAGAGCAGCGAGCGCTCTCCCACCAGGCCCTTCCGCCATGATGTTCTGCCTCACTTGGACCCAGAGCATTGGAGTCAGCTGACCATGGACTGAACCTCTGAAACCGGGAGCTCAAAATAAACTCTTCTTCCTCTAAGTTGTTCTTGTCGGGTATTTTGGTCACAGGGTTACAAAGCTGACTATCACAGTTATGCCTCGGGATGTTCATAAATGTAGTGTTCCTAAGTCACGGTGCCTTACTCGATATCTGAGAATTCTTAATTATCTGTGCTGAAGTCGGGGAGAGGTGGAGGTAAAAGGGACATAACATTTATCGGGGACTAATCCAGAAAGGATACCTGACATACCCAAGGTCACTCTTATAGTCA